GGAGTCTTACCTCCCCATGTCGTCCACTCTAGTATTGCCAAGTGAAATGGAGTTTTACGTTTAGGTTCTACTAAGAAAATTGAAACCTAAGGTGCCGCTTGAGATACTTATCTTAATCCCACGTTTTAAATTTTTTTCTTGAGATATCTAAACGGTGAGTACTTGATTTGAGGACAAATACTCACCGGACAAATACAATGGCGTTTAAATTTTGAAATAGTGAAAGAATGACCTGTGCCCCTGGGAAATTTTGTGGCCCCTGCTCGCGCCCCTCGCCCGGTGTTTCCTGGAAACGCCTCTTGACAAATACTCACCAAAAATAAGAAAGGATCGGTAAGTAACTGTACTTAGCCCACAGGATTTTGATATTTTCATTTCAACATTTTACTTAGATTAAAAATAAATAAATTTTAGGCAATAATTCAGCTCATGAAACCGAGTGGTTATAAACTGTCTCTAGTGACAGTCTAGTGTCACTGTGTCATGTCATGTCAGGTGTGTCATACTAAACTGACACCTCGTCAAATCCTCGACAACATTTTCTTACATACTGATTAGCTCTTAGGTATATACCTGTTTCAAGTCAGGGCCGGTATACCTCGGCTAGGGTTATATACAACACACACTGGGGTGGGTCGTTGAAAAGTTTGGAGAACCCAGCACCTCAACTTCTCAGTTTTGAAGACATGGTGTGGTCCAACCCCGGAACCCCCTCCCTACCTCTCAAGCCATGAATACTTCCCTTGTCTGGAATTATATATAACGACATAGCAATTTGTACATTGATAATGGTGTAACAAGTCAGTAAGATCCATCTTCTAGGCCCCTTTCCTTCCTTTCCAACAACAATGGATACCCACCGTGTCCACAGTGAAATTTAAGTAGATAAAATGACAATGTAAATGTAATCAGTCTGACAGTAAGACTCAACCCATCTGTCCATACCTCGAGAACCAAGTGCCTCTAGTTGCAATAGTGCACCACTTTCCATAGATGACCCTCGCCGTGGAAATGAGGTATATAAAATGACAATGCATATATAATGTTGTGACAGTAACTATATAAACCCCCTCCCCCATCTCTTCCTGAATCCCCCCTCCCCCCCCCCCCCCCCCCCCCCCCCTCACCAACCACAAATTCTCACCGTAATGCATCCACATTCTCACCATGGAAGTAAAGTTGATAAAATGACAGTGTATATATTACATATTGCGACAGTGACTGTCAGACATGACAGTATGACAGATGTAGTGACAGGTATAGACACAAGATGACACCACTTCTGACAAGTTTATCAATTTAACTCAAACTCAAACGATCAAATTTGAATACCATGTGAATACATTATGATATTATTTTTACGGTTGACGGAAACTTCCGAACATAAACGATTGTTATCGAAGACTAAGGACGAAAAGGTCGAGGATTGAATTGAACAAAAACTCAAACGATAACTTTTAAACGATGTGAATATATTATAATATTAATTTGTGTGACGGAAACTTCCGAACATTAACGACTTTAATCGGAGACGAACGTAGTAACTTCCGGACATTAACGACTTCTATCGAAGACTAACGTGACTTCCAAACATTAACGACTTATTCCGAAAACTAGCGTAGTAACTTCCGAACATTAACGACTTCATCCATAGACTAATGCAGTAACTTCCGAACATTAACGACTTATTCCGTAAACTAAGGGAATAACTTCTTAACGTTAACCTCTTTTACCGAAAACGAAAGTAGTAGCCTAACTTCCGAACATTTTCGACTTTTACCGAAAGTTTCTTAATACAAATTTGAATAGGTAAAATCTTGAATAAATTGTCATTTTGTGGTTTGGGTTGATGGAATCGTTCACTTTCCATTGTCAGCCTTGATGTCCGAGTAACCTATCGTAGTCTTAGTTATCAAGACGGTCATTATAACACCCGCAGATCTACTTTGAGTGATAGGCTATGTTGAGAAACTTGTAATTTTGTCAGTTTGGTGTAAACGGTTGAAGATTAAAGTAAAATTTGAAGAGGTTCATTTTCTCTTCTTTTCCCTTTATCAGCTGTTAAATAGTCGCGGTTATGAGGCGTGAAGTCTCGGTTATCAAGCGTTAAATAGATATACCAGAGATCGGGTTATATACGAGGTTGTAATGGAGACTGTTTATGTTATCAAGAATAATGCATTTGTCGAACCAGACCACCCAACTTGTTCATATTCAGTCTTCATTTCATCATTGTACGCCGCCATTATAAAAAATATGACGTCATTTATTGTTGCTGTCAATTCACGTGCTACGTTACACGTCTGTCCCGCACTAAATTGTGAAGTTAACAACGATTCGGTGATATTTGTATTTCTATATATCAGGACAATCTCGAAAGATTTTGATGGCCCCGCTGACAGATTTATCACCCCCTTTCAACTTCTTCTGATATTTGTTCTCCTGAGTTCACAAAAACTGGTTAAATGTCATCTACAACATTCAAGATATCTCTGTGAAAATCCAAACTATATTTAGATATCGAATCTTACTGGGTACAATCAAAAAGGGGGGGAAACATTAAAATTTACAGGTTTCTTGAAACTGGTTCTTTGAATTTTCTAGTTTATGTAGATCTTACCGTCTATTTCGGACATTAGAGAGATGGGGGAACAAACATATTTGTCGAGACTGAGAACGAAAGTTCTCGATGATCATTTCTATCAATTGATTCGCGGTCAAAACAGAGCTTAGTCCTCGGAGATCCCTTCTGTCAGATACTCTCTTATCAAATACCGTGGATTACAGTAAAAATTTGATCTGATAGGGGGTCTGGAATCCATGACCATCCAGTTGACAACAATTGCCCACTAAAAATGCCCTAACATAGCAATTACCAGATTACCAGACTACCAGTTGCGTGTGATTGCGTATAATGGAAGTAACGAACTCAACTCACAACTCATTTACGACTGCTATTTCTATTCTTACCAAACGCAACTGGTGATCTCTATGGTGTGAGGTCCACGTCAGACAGATATTATCAGATGCTTTGTCAACATTTAAGATATTTGTGCATTTACATGGACATTGAGAGATCAACTGAATCTTGGTTACAAACAATCTGTGGTTGTACATGATATTGTCATCTGAATTTGTATATTTATTTCGGTTTCTTCCTTTGATAAACATGAAAAACGAGGAAAAATATCAAATTTGTGTAAAGTGTAAAACAAAAGATACAGCTTAATATGATGCATTGATATATAAAATAGAAACATGGCGACAATATCTATACGTCATTGTTGAAGGAGTAATTGTGGTTTGTGTTGTGTTTTAAGGTGAAATATGTATTAATTTAAGAAAGTGACGAAGAAACAAGCCAGGATTTGACGCTGACAAATCTCTGTCTTCAAAAACATGTCAAAAATTACATCGTGAACATTTATTAACCGGGACATTTTTAACAGGTGTGGATTTACTAGTTGACACATCCCTTTCATTATATAGACAACTAACTTGTTCGTAACATAACTCTTTTATATTCTTACCTGATAAACAATGTCTAGTACAGTAGAGTTTGGTTAAAATATGAAAAAACATAACGAGAATTGTGGTTTGACCATTACAATTTTCTTTAATTTCAACAGATACACAATGCCAGGGCGGTAATATAGGATTATTGAACTAACCTACCAAAAAACATTATTAGCTTTGTGGACTCTCCGTAATGGACGTCGAGTTCGTGGCTAACAGGTTGAGGAATGGCCTCAGGAACAGTCCTGGCCGCCATAAAAGTCATTTGCCTGTTTGCGTGTACTAAATATATCAATTAGCTACTTCAGAGTTTTCACAGTGACAAAAGCCTTATCTGTCATGACTTTTGATATCAGTGCAAAGCCATTAAAGAGTCCAACAAGACATTATAGGGTATTCTAGCATATCCCTGTGACCCACACGCTACCCCAATATCCAGGGATATCGTTTTCTTGTAAATATTTGGCAGCAAAAGTTATGGAAACTTTGGCTATTTTCTTTTTGACAATTCTCCAATGGAACTTAATAAAAAAGAGATATGGCTCTACCAGTGACGACCTCATATCCGCATATTACGTCTGAAGAACTGGTAGGTCCAGATTTGTCGAGTTAACCAACTCCTAAACAATAACACTTGCTTCCTTGTCCATATAACTCTTTACATTTTCAATCGCATTTTCACTCTTTTCTTTCTTTGATAAGCTCAAAAAGCTTGGTTTCTTTATCAATTAATTTACAATTAATCATTGTCATTAGTCATTAATTTGATCTCTTCCGGGATGAACCAGGGTGGTTCGATATTAGATCCAAATATACAGTTTTCCGGTTTAAGGCTGAGATGAAATTTGACGTAAGAATACAACATCCCGATTATAACCCAATAAAGGATGCAGAGATTATTAATTCGAAGTTTTGTCGTCATTCACACGCCTTTCAATTGTGGTTTAGGATTGTTTTGTTTCGAGAAACCACCAACATAAACATTTATTTAGAAATACTTTCCTATTTCTAAGAAGTTTGTATTTATGTATCCGGGATATTTTGATGGACTTTGAATACAAATATAGGATAATCTTACACATGGATGCCCATTGGTAGACTGACGTGACGAGGAAATGAATCGGGAGAGGAAACTTAGAAATGGCACACTGTTCTTTCCCCCTGCTCTAACCCCATTATCCTTTGAACAATTGAATTAAATACCTACTATACAATAGCTTTTTACAATCTTAATGCTCATCTTACGTTGCCCAACCACTTTCTTATGATTTTCCTCCTTTTTGTGTGGGATTTTCAAATTGGTCTTACCACTCAGTGGAATGGCAATGACAGGGTGGAAATTGTAAAGGGGGAAACCACTATGGGAGGAACTTGTAAAAGGGGGAAACCACTGTAAGCCTTTCCATATATAAGAGGTGTTGCGATATTTATTGCTTTGGAATATTTCCATAAAATATCCTTGGGAATATAATTCAACAATTTAATTAATATTAATGAATTTTTAATAATTCTATGAATATTTTAACATTAATTAACATATAATTAACATTTATTATAATAATTTATTCAAATCTCCTGAATTTTGATTTCAGTCTGTTTACGTGTTGTTTTATAACCTTTTATTAGATTTCAAATCATTTATGCAAGTGATTGAATTGACACCGAATGACTGTCCGTGCAATCATGTGTTTATTGCTTGGGGGACATTCGACTCCGACATCACCCAATTCACCACTTTCCATTTGCTTGCCACATAGATTTACACTTTTCTTCGGGTCAAAACAAAGATGGCGCCCTGTGAGGTCATAACATAACGAGACAATATTTATCTTCATATGTTTCGATAAGTGGCACCCAACTAGAAAGCGGTGAATTATTTCAAGGACTACCATAGCCAAAATTGATTTTACAGTATTTCCATAAAATAAATTGTTCGTTTAAATATAAGGAAACTCGTGAATATTTCCATAAACGTAAGAAAGTATTTTAGCACTTTAAAAAATCACATATCAAAACATTCTCATAATTACACTCCAATATGGCACACTTATGACGTCATATACACATATCCTCAAGGAACAGCAGCGCCAAGACGAGGTCCATATAACGAGGAATATTGTGGGTAATATGCACTCAGAGGGGGGAGGTGGGAAGTGGGTGGTGCCCCGATATTTCCGAGTTGAGATTTGTAAGGGTGAAATCTGCTTGATAAAAGTCCTGGGCTTAAACTGGTGGGGTAAGCACGTCGTAAAGAGTTCGGGCTCATTGGAGCTGACATTCCTAAATGGACCAAACCACCGGCTGAAGCCACACTGGCTGATAAAGCTGATGGTGACAGGCCAAGTCCATAACCCGCATGTAATCCTGAATCTATACTCGATGTATGGCTCCTTAAATGTTGCATAAGTTCCTCGGAAGAGTTGAATCTTTTACCACAATAATCGTGTCCAGCAACCCAATTACAAATATAAGGTAGTCCTTGATGAGCGGAAGGAAGAGCACTATGAGGATAAAGGGAATGTAAAGAGGATAGAGATTGTAGTCCAGAAGCACTAGATGGTAAAGATGCTAGATGTGGGTAAAGTGATAAAGGATTTCCAGGCATCCCAAGTCCAGCAGCACCAGATGAAAGTCCTAATAAAGCTTTTTCATGAGCACATTGAGAACATCCGGGTGTTTTACACGTGGCTGAGGTGTGTGATGTTTGAACGGTCAGTTGACAGTTGGTACAATAAGGATCCTTGCACACTGGTACAAGAGTTGTGGCCCCTGATGGCGTTCGAACACGAGTATAACTAACATAGGGATTCATCGAGGCTGCTGCGGCACCAGCTTTAAGAGCTGATTGTTGGGCGGCTGCGGCTGCAGCGGCTGATGAAGCAGCTAGTCCTTGTGCGTGTAATCCTGATTGGGCCGCCAACAATTGTGATTGGTAGATAGCAATTGCCTCTGGAGAGAGTCCATGAAGGGACATACCTTGGTATCCCATTTGAGAAGCGTGAAGTCCGCTGTACAATGGATGACTGTTAGGTTTAATGGTACTGTGTGACCCAATGGAAGGATGGCTGTAAGGTGATGGAAGAGAAGACGGTTTGGTGTAGATGGGGCTTGAGGATGGAACACGACCTGGTTGATCACGATTTTCAGCTTCTTTGGAAGTCCAAGAATGATTGGAAGTTGGGGATCCTTTACTTCCGGTGGAAACAGGACGTGAATTTACTGTTGGACTCTCTCTACGTTTGAGATCAATAGGGGAGCAACTTTGCTCCTTGGAAATTGGAACTAAGGGTGGAATTTCTTTTGGTGGAACAGTTCTAAACCCTGGTTTTTCATCCTTGGGTGAATCTTTCTTAGTAACAGGTGATGTTGGCACTTTCGTCTCGACTGTATGTTGCTTCTCGATCTCCTTGTTCTCTGGAGATGGATTGGCCTTAGCTGGTACCACATCCTTACCAATACTGCTACAGGTCTGGGCTAACATGGCCAATGGACTTTTCTTTACATCTAACTGCAAGTAGAAAATGTAAAATCATAAGAAAGAGTTTTTCAGTTATTTGGGTTGAATTCTCGATATACTAAGACACCTTTTTTCATAAACCATAACAACAAGACGAGACAAAAATATAGATATCACAAAGTGGTACAAATAGTTATTAGTTATTGCCCACCATTATTTTGATTACGAATATGTCCATCCTCCGCCATTTTGGCTGTCAGAAATAAAATGAGATGGTGTTAACGTCTTACTTTTTTGTACTTTACATGAGCTTTAATACAGTGTGCTCTTTTTCGATTTACAACTGTTGAAGTCGGCCATTGGAAAATCTCAGATAATCAGAGGGACAAACAACCGAAGAGGACAGTCTAGGGCCGATGATTTTTGCGAAATGTTGTCGGTGGTCTATGCTTGGTGGTGGGGGATGGGCATAAGTAAGAAGTGAGTAAGATAATCATAGCTATGTAATATAAGTACGAACTTGTCCGCCCTTGCATCGCACATCGATACTAGGATCTATTCTGCACTCGGTAATCCTCGACAAATATTACTCACAATAACACAACAACCAGCCGTGGGAAGAGTTGTAACAAATCGACAAAAATATTTAGGTTTTGACAACTCAACATGACCCTAAATACTTTTACTTCAATAACTGTCAATACAGACCAGTTTTTGTTCAGTTGTATTTTGATTATAAACCGGAGTGAGTCATCGTTAATTTGACCTACTGCCATACTGGTTTGACTGACGCTTAAAGGTAATCACAGCTACCGAAGCGTATGAAGTTTAACCACATGTTAAAGGTAACCTTTTATTCACAAAAACTATTGCGAACGTAATATTTTATGCCAATTTTTGTTAAATAATTGAGCACGGACGTAAAAGTAAACATGAACTATAACGTCGTTAAGTTTGTGACGATATAAAGATGAATTTCTGCCATTAAAAAATTAAAAAAATCGATTCAAATTGCAAAAACCATTCCTATTTTAGTATTTCTCAACTGTATTTGGTATAGAATGATTTCGAAACACGAAACCTTGTGATACAGTGTTGTACAAAAAGAAATAGACTTACCGAAGTAGGTAGAGGATGAAGATAGTCCGCCGGATAGTGAAGATACTGCGATGAATTCATCTTAAATAATCCAAATTAACTTTACTTTAACATTGGCAATTACAAACACGATAAATAATACTCCAATAACTCGAATATTGATGATATCCAAGGACGAGGAATACTAAAAAACACCGTAGAAGGCTTCGTGTCTCTCAGCGCCTGTCAAATTCTGAACAGTTCGTATCTCAAGCTAGTCTGAGTGAAACAAGCCGCCCAGCGACAAAACATGAACCGACAACACTTGTAAATTATTAGAAGATGAAAGAGTTTTACCGCCCGCCAATCAGAAAGTAAATAATCCACGACACTTGATAGTGATTGGTTGCTTGGCTCAACATGACGTCTCGTGTACTCATAGTGAACGAGATCTACAGGCATTTCAACCAATGAGAACGAGTCTTACTAAATTCTTGGGTATAACCCAGCCGTCACCCCCTTGGCCCGGCCATCAATCATCCTGATGAGCCAGCTGTCAATCATTGTTAATTTATATCATAACGGCTCGTTAATGTATAGTTTATAAAGAGCCAAATAAAGCGATAAAAAGCCCCGAAGTGGGAGAGCTAACAACCTAACTATTGACAATATGCCAACGTAGACTTGATTAACCAGACGTTATCATTCTCGGTCAAACTTGTCTTCCAGAAATGGAGATATAAAATAAGAAATCAAATGAATGGAGTATTACGTCTGCATGCAATCGGGCCATTGAAGACTGGGAACGCCATGCAGTGTACAATGAGAGAAACTTGATCTAGTTAAGGTGATGGAGAGAACGGGGTTCTGAAACCAATGCTAAGTTAGTACGGCTTATATCACCTAAACTTGTAGAAAACGAGAAGATAATATGGCCAATCTTGTATAATTACAGAATGAAAGTTAAAGAGTTGAAAAGCCAGAGAGTCTGACATACATTAACAATCAAAGATAACCCCGCCATCTTGCCAAATGTCAGGGCGTGCCAATTAAATCGAGAGAATTTACTGGCGATGAAAACAGGCCGAGTTCAAAGGAGAGCCTTTCCCAAATCTCAAAACATATTTTTGAACCGAGTATCTTAGTACGAAATATGTGTACTTTCCTCATACTTTTGACAGTTGTTGATTTTCACTCTTTCCAGTTACTGATAGCTAGTTTACATGGGTGACACTCAGTTAAGCACCAATATAGAACTTTATAATAAAAAGCCAAAATATGATGGCAATATGGCGTCGAGTATTTTCCAAACCTGCTTAAAAAGCCAAAATATGATGGTAATATGACGTCGAGTATTCACTAAACCTGCTCGAAAAGGCACAAACTTGTCATCGTTAACTTCGTGTTGCGGAGATCATTTTAATGAAATTAAATCCCATCGGCAACTTCCTGTTCTGGAATCCATGTTGCTAAAACAAATCCTAAATCAGTGGCAAGATGGCGTCGAGGCGTCATCAAGCTAGTACGCCAGACTAACAGTGGTATAAAACTATAAAATCTAGTGGAGTACAGATCAAAGAAGATGTAACATTTTACGAGGGTTTATATCAATCAATTTACAGCAAGTAGGGGAGTTTGAAAACAGATTGAAATAGACGTGTTGAAAAGCCTAACTGTTAAATGTTGACGTAAAGAACAATTATACGCCAAACATCAAAGACTACCTCAATGATCCTTATCCTTAGTTATAAACATGGCGGCTAACGAAATAGTCTCGAATCACCAGACTAGATAATGACATTATCTTTGAATGCTGTGGTGTATTGTGGAAAATGCCTTGCAGTCTTAAAACTTCCGGTTGCGTCCGAGTAGCAGAAGTTCGAGGTCTATTAAAGATGCCTCTTTTAAAATGAAGATGAAAAGCCAACTTTTCAATTCTTTGAATAACTTACACTCCAATTCTCTCAAGCATGTGCCATTACCGCTAATTTATAAACGGTGTAACAATAGTTCCTCCTCAATAAAGGTCCATTAAAATTTACACCCCAATTCTGCTAGCTTTGTGTTATGTTTGCTAATTTATAAACGGTGTAAACCATAAATGTCCCTCCTTAATAAGGTCCAGTAAAATTTACACCCAAATTCTATCAGTCTTGTGTCCAAACCGCTAATTTATTAACGGTGTAAACCATAATAGTTCCTCCTTCATAAGGTCCAGTATCAACAGGGGAGGTTTAAAGATGAAAGCTAATTACAGGCGGTGTAAAATTTATTATCAACCCACTTGAAAATGGCCCCCTTAATCACATGGGATTATATGAACAATAAGATCAATACTGATGACCCTGTCAAGATAAGACGGTGTATTGATTTGTGACTCCCCTAATTTATAGTCCATTACGGTGATTACAGATCACTGTGTTTCCCATCTCACATACACCTCTCACGATAAACAATGAGAAACCACGAGATAAGTCGTATCTCAGAGAGATAAATGTGGATGACGTGACGTTACCCTGCCCCAGGCTGCATACTATTTCCTAGGGGTCGGTTTCCAACCCCAGAGAGCAACAATTAAGATGTTTATAAACATCTTGTTTATTTGACATATTCTGTTCTACATCAGATGTGGGGCCATCTCAAAAAATCCAAATTTGAACAAAAGGAATGTAATTCATTGTTTTGATGTAAAACCAATTTTACTGATTGACCTATCAAGAGGCCCGTAGCCAAGGAAAAGGGGGGGGGGGGGTATTTGCGTTTCCAGGCGACTAATTCATAAAATTGCCTTGTGGTGTCCCGAAGTCCCTATACAAGTAAACCTTAACTTAGCCAGGAAATGTCAAGGAGTCAAATTCTCTAAAATGTTCTAGAGACGTTTGCCCCCCATCCCC